TTATTTTTAAACCTTAATATTATAGTATATATAATCCTAAAAGTATAGTTTAAAATAACAGTTATTAGATTTAATATAATTAATAAGCTTTTTAATTTATTTTATAAAATATGATGTATCAGAAGTAACAATACAGCCTATATTTTTAAAATTTTTATAATAATAATTATATTAGTTTAAATAAAAAAAATTATAAATTAGGTTTCTAAATAGATAGTATAATGGTTAGTACTTCAAGATTACAGTTGCAAAATTATAGATTCGAATTTAATCAGAAGACAAAACTTAGCTAAACTATAATTAAATAATTTATAAAAATATAACTAAAATTAAACAATAACAGAATTCATATACAGTATATGTAGTTTGCTAGCATAATTATATAATTAAAAATGATTAGAAAAAATATAAGTTGTTAATAAAAAATACTAAAATTAAGTAAACTTAGTTTAAAAAAAAAGATCTAACTGTAAGTTATGTAAAGTTAGGAAACTGTAAATCTAAATAATATTGATCCTATACTAAAAAGCCAGAAATCTGAAACTTTATATGACAAACTTAATAGAGCATAAGCTATCTTACTAGTATAATAATATACAAAAACCATTTTATCATTCTGTAGAACTTCATAATAATGACAATACTGATTTTAGGAAGTAAAAAAAAACCTAAAATGTTTAAGAACCTTTGGTTGCAAAAAAAAGAAAAAAAAACTATAAATTAAATTATTTAATTTATAAAAAACTTAAAATTTATTTTTTAAACTAATTTTGAATTTATAAATTAAATAATTACAAATTTAAATATTAAAAAAAACTTGAAACCTAGGCCTTAAACCGTCATCCAGACCTGAGAACTAAAAAACTATTAATTATAATTGCAAAAAAACTTCGAAACCTAACTCCTAAGACATTGCTTAGACTTGAAAGTTAGAAAACTATAAATTAAATATTATTAATTTATAAAAACTTAAATTCTATTTTTTAACCTAATTTTAAATTAATAAATAATTACAAATTTAAATATTAAAAAAAACTTAAGACCTAGCTTCTGGAACATCATTCGGGTCTAAGAGCTAGTTAGAAAAACTTAAAACATAACCCTCAGAACATCATCCAAGCCTAAAAACTATAAAACTTCAGGTTGAATAGTAAAAAAAACTTGAAACCTAGCTCCTAGAGCATCGCCCAGGCCTGAGAGCTAAAAAACCTAAAATTGAATAGTAAAAAAACTTGAGACCTAGCACCGGAGCATCACCCGGGCCTGAGAGCTAGTACGCAGAGCTAAACGGTAATATGTAGTAAATGCTTTATATAAATGCGAATTAATTCAAATTCGGTAATGACTATCAAAAAAAATCATGCTATTATTCAATTTGACACTGCCTTTATAACAGTATGGTACCATAACTCGCGATATAATCCCGGGTTCACAATATGCAAACGATAACTGTGGAGTTTGCCATGTGACTTGAGTCTTTGGAAGCTATTATAACCAATTGGACTAGAAATTTTATTAACCTGACGGTTTAAGGGATAATATTCTATCTTCATTAAACTTATGTGTTCTGATGGCACACTAATCATATCTTTGTTTATATGATTTGAAATGATATCATGTTTCCGCATGCTCTTTTATAGCATAAAGTTTAAAGTTTGTAGTACCTAATTAAATTACTTCTTAGAAACTTATTTAACTATCTTATAACACAAATCACTGTAAATAATTTAAAATTGCCATTTGTTGCAAAAACATTTTTTTTTGTTATAAGCACGACATTATGTTGAGGTAGGTTTTGTTAACACCAGTATCTGATAACACACAGTATGATTCAATAATATTGGCATAGCTTAAACATTTTTTTACCCTAACGCACAAATATATTAATAAATGAACAGTGATAAAAGCTAAAATTTCTATTCGTCTTTCATCTATTGTCTATATAATATTAAAATATTCGTACTAGTAATTTCGATATATCAAAAAACTTTAAACAATGGCCGTATACTGTGTCGTTTTAGCCCTGTTTTGTATATGATCGATGTATTTTGTGGACTGTGCACGATCAACTTCGAAGTATTTTTCTACGAATTCTATGAATGGGTAATCGAAATTTCGGCCTAGCTTTATTATTATTATATAGGTAGCTTCAAACTTTAAATGATTTCTTGACAACTGCATTTTGATGAAAGATTTTTAATGCAATTAAAGAAAACGATTTCATTGTTAAATGATCAAATGGATATCCGCTTAAAAATGAAGATCCGTTGAATTTCTTTCAAAATTGCACAAGTTTTCTAACAAGTCAAATTATATACATCTTCGTGTGACTAGACACTGGTAAAGCTTAGCACAAATTTCTTGGCTGCGATATAAATCGACTTGCTTTAAATAAATATATATTTGCTATATATATATATATATAGTATAAATTTAAATCTATGTAGAGTATAATGATAGACTCGAAAAGTTCAACTTATTGCAATGCGAGTCACTGTTACTATATATAAAAAGTCCAATTAAAAATAAATGATTGACAAGCTTCTTTTTTAGTAACAAATAGTTGAAATCTAAATCTACGATAATAAATGACCAATGTCCAATAGGAATGCGTAATAGTAATATTAATATGGTTTGATAGAAGGTCTTGTAACATTTATTTATGTCATTTGATCATCACCCCCGCACGAAAGTAACATTACCACACCTCTAATAATGTAATATGTCACGTCCACTTAATGAACTTAACGACAATAGGATAATGTATGTAACTACATGTCGCCCTTTTGCTCGTGAGACATTTACGTTATATTTATATTAATGTCACTCTGAATAACAGTCCTGCACAGACTGATAATGACAAAAAAAATTTCTCATATCTATGTTTCATATTCTTGTGATTACTGAAAAAAAAACAAAAAAAACGCTATTCTATATACCACTTTTAAGATATGGCAGAACAACTTATTGCTACAAATACTTTGCAATCACGGCTTCACCGAAATGGAAAAAATAGTCTTAGTTCCAAGAATTTTACTAGTCAACTTACCGAAGAGAATCTTAAACTTCATACCACAATGGTATGTCTCGAACATATGCTAATATAATGTTTGTTCTACTAGGCTGAGTTCAGAATATGAATTGCGACTCTATTATCAATATAATAAATAGCTAATAGTTAAATTAAAAATTGATTATATAAACTTCAGATATGCTAGATATGTTTTTATAATAAATGCTTTTGATATTAAATAAAAAGAACGCATAACGGTAAATTTTGTTGTTTTCCATTAATGTTGTTAATACTTACCTTTCAATATGCTAATTACAGGGGCCATCAGCACGAGAAACGAAAACGCATTTAGTATTGGTATATGTGGACCTTCAAAAACAGTTGGTAGCTCTTGAGGAACAAATGCGGATAGAAGCAAAAGCCGCACAGGAAAAATTTACAATGTCTTTGCCTAAAGATACTCCATCCGTTATACCAGAAATTATACAAATACCGATATCTAAACCTAATCCTACTTCATTACCATCTCCACCTCCCATTGAAGAAAATGATTTATCTGAACCCTACGACCTTAATTCTACATCACCACCATTAAAAAAATTAATAAAAAATATGAAAAGTACACATCGTATAAAATCATTATTTAAGAATCAAACAAAAAAGGCTGTTAATTCAGCTGACAATTTGTCTCCTGCTTCTTTCACGTCTTCTCGTACTTCATATTTTGAAAGAGATAACACATCACTCAATGTGGAGCCTTCCATACATCCAACATGTTCTCAATCCTCTCAACGTTCAAAATCTTTAAAAAGATCAAAAACTCCTTTAAAAAGAATTTTTATTCCACCACCTACTTATAATAGATCAAATAGCGCTGAAACTTTGAATACTTTGACTCACAATAATAACTCTACCTCATCTCCCCATAATAACTTAGCATGTAGTATCACTCGACATTCTTCTGCTCCCTCCACACCATTGTTTCCAAATTGTACTGCTCATTCGAAAAATGATTTAAGATTAGACACAGCTTCTGCGACTAATAATGAAAGATGTGAAAATTTAATGCTAGAGTATCGTGATAGTGGAATAGCATTGGTTTCCCCAGGTGGTAAATCAAATCATTCACGAGAACATTCATTTTCGACCTTATTACGTAAGATTGATCTATTTAATGCCTTTAATCATCAAAACGGTGAAAAAAAGGTACAAAGGGTAAAAAGTAGAGGGTCAGTTCATTCTGCGTTTACTAAATCTAAAGAAAATGAGCATGAATTATTAGCTTTTCGCTATCCGAGTTTAAGAGACATTGATGACATGAGATACTCTACTGGCAATCTCTGTAATAGAATATTTGATCATGATGACAGTATTGGAATTAGGAATGATATGAGATCACTTTAGATCATTTTTTAATTGTTTAAAAAAAAAAAAATTTTTTTTAAGTCATTGGTGGTTAATGGAAATCACCATATCTTATTGGTTATTTCTTAAATCCAAGAAAAAAAAAAACAAGAATTGGAAAAAAGACATGTGGTTCGCTGGAAAGTTCATCTATAGTTCTTGTTTCCAGGGATATCATGTTATTCAATTCTAAAATTTTACAAAAAGGGTGGATAAAATAAAAGGGAACAAATTTTAATATTATAGCTCAGATTAACTATGAATTCATCTTATGATCATTCCATCTTAAGATTCATGGTTTTTTGATGTTAATTTAAATTGCTTGATTTTTATTTAAACCTGTAATATATTGACATCTATTTATTGATGGCATAAAAAAAATTTTTTTTATATATGATGTACACACGTATTAGTGTTTAATAGCATTGTAAATTAAGATTTGTGAAAGCTTAAACTTCAACAAATAATATAATAAAAAGAAAAAAAGAGTGGTGTATTTATACATTTATTTTATTTATTTATTAAAAACGTTCTATTTAATATTTTATTTAGAGTTTTAATACACTGATTAATCAAAGAATACTAATACTAAACTCAAGTAAAAAGATTATTGAGTAAATTATCATTAAAATTTTATTAAAAAATTTGATATTATGTCTAAAAAAAATTGGTTATTCTAAAGAATAAGTTATGGATTAGAGATTATCATAAAATTTTATTTAAAATTCCAACCGGAAACTTTATATATTAGTAAATCATGTAAATTATGATGTACAAATCTATCGCATACATTGTATTGCACGCATTCACTATATAAGCGTTCACACCTATTATCAAAATGAATTTAATACCTAATTCCTGGGTCAATATTTGTAATTAAAATATTGTATATATGAATAATTTGAAATAAAAAGTTTTTAACCCCGAAATCATAAAATTAAACTTCATCAGATTAGCCAAATAGAAAGATACTCACATCTTATATCTACAAGTCTCTGAGCAACTACTTGCTTCGCCTGAAAATTCATACGATATTTCGATATCTAAATCTCGGTTATTCTTCTTATTAGGTGCGCAAGATAATGTACCAGTAACAGTTTCACCGCTCTTGATAGTAATAGAATCAGTTGTATAAAAAACTGTTTGTTTCCAATGAGTATATTTGGAATGTGGCCCTAAATAATTTTAATAATTACAACAATTGATAATAATAATTGTTGAAGCAGTTTTAAAATATTGGAAATTGAAATTTGTTATAGACATCTGCTGATTAATAATGTGTTAACAAACCTGTGCTAAAACGGATCGGTTTATGACATGCTGAAAAAGTAATATCAAACCATGCGATAAAAGCATGAATGTAGTCATCTCTTATGGCGGTTAATTTGAAAGGTGCGGAAAAGGTTAAATCTGATTTTTGAGCCGTATTAATATCAATTTCCTACAAATGAAAAATTAAAAATATAATCAAGCTAATGAAGTACTTTATATAATAATGCCAAAATTGGTTTTGTAAAAATCACCTTAATAGCAAACGAACTAGTAACTATAGCTTTACTATCAACCGTGTCTACCAAAGGTTCCCTAAGTGCGACCGACTTAATTGAGCTGAAATCAAAACCATAAACATTATCCCAAACTAAAGAAATATATGTAAGAATTATGTATGAGAATTATATATAAGAATTTTTAATGTATCAATATTTAAATACTAAATAATAATACTACTTGCATCCGATTTTTTCTTCTTTATAGTCACCATCTTCGATAGCAGCCAGATATATCGTTGCTTTATCGGGAAATATGAGGCCATTAGGTTTCTGTATATATGTTAAAAATATTATGAATAATTACACTCTTAACATTACATTATTAACGTGTCCTACGAACTTACCAAGTATTTGTCTCGAGCAACCAAGACGGTATCCAACATAGATTCGTATAGTAAAAAATATCCCATCCACTCTGATATAATAATATCAACCTTATCAACTGGCAATTCGACTTCTTCCATTTTTCCCTTGATCAATGTAATTTCTAACGAGGAAATAGATGATCGATTATCACGCTCAACCGTTTGATAAAATTATAGTCAAGTAAGGTCTTACTATCATCTAAATGGTTATCGATTATGATCTGACGCGCTTGATCAATAATATTTGACATATCAATCTAAAATAAAAAATAAAAAAATAAATAAATGTCACCGAAATAATTCTTTTCAAAATCAAGATTCAAACAAGCCAATAATTATGAGATCTTACTCCATAAACGTGTTTAGCACCAGCTTTTGCGGCAAACATCGACAGAATACCAGTTCCACAGCCAACGTCTAGCACGACTTTATCCTTAAAGAGATGGCGATTCTGATAAATGGACGAGCGATAAGAAAGTGTTCTCACTTCATCCTTCAACATTTCCTCATGAATCCCTTAAAATTGGTAAAAAATATTAAGAAAAAAAATACAAAAAGATAAAAAAAATTACCGCACACACCAAAATGCGCATAAGAGTCGAAATAATAGTCTTTGCTAGTCATTTCAACATCGACTGCGCGATCGTCTCGTCCATCAGCCTGATCTTCCATTTTTTTTTTTTTTTTTGTTTGAAAGCTAGAGTTCTTTCAATTATTTGGCTTCAATTTGTACAACTTTATGCACGTTCGCGAAAGCATGTTTAGCTATCCGAAATAGTCCGGATGTTTGAGTTCGGTCTGGCTTTGTGAAACGTAGTATAATCATGATTAATGGTATATATACGTATGAAAGCTTGACACTTCTGGACTGTTGTTATTTTCAAGACCCTTTGTATCGATTTTAATATGGATCGGTTTAACGCTCAAAATACCCAGGATGAAAATTTCTCTTTTCTTGAATATTCTGGTGGCGATACTCAGGCGTCTCAATATGATTATAATGAGTTTTCCCTTGACTCAACTTTAAATTCGCAACAAACTCTTGACGGCTCTCAGTCGCAGTTTATTGAGCCTGATTTAACAGGTGTTGACGAAATTGACCCATTTCAAGATTTAACTATTGTTGAAAGAGAATTACCAGAACATGCTTGCAGGTACTCGTTTACCTTTTTCAAAGTGTAGGTGTGGATTTATAAGCTTAAATATGTTCCTTAATATCACTTTGATTTCTGATATTTTTAAGGTACTGCGGAATACACGCAGTGAGTTCTGTGGCTAGATGTGTTACTTGTAGCAAGTGGTTTTGTAATTCGCGAGGAAATACGTCTGGTTCTCACATAATTAACCATCTTGTTCGAGCCAAACATAAAGAAGTTGCTTTACACCCTGACTCGACGCTTGGTGAAACTACACTTGAATGTTATAATTGTGGTTGTAGAAATGTTTTTTTACTTGGATTTATTCCTGCAAAAAGTGATACTGTTGTCGTATTATTATGTCGGTAAGTATATATTGAAAATATACGTTATGATTCAACAGATCTTATATGAATCACTCATGATTTATATAATATAGACAACCGTGTGCTGCAATGCCAAGTAGCAAGGATATGAATTGGGATACTTCACAATGGCTTCCTCTTATAGATGATCGATGCTTCCTTCCATGGCTTGTTAAAGTCCCTAGTGAACAAGAACAGCTTCGTGCTCGGCAGATCACAGCGCATCAAATCAACAAACTCGAGGAATTGTGGAAAGATAACGCGGAAGCAACACTTGAAGATTTGGAAAAGCCCGGTATTGACGACGAACCTCAACCTGTCTTATTAAGGTAATGCTATCTTATGTGCTATTTGAAATTCGTCGATTACACATTAAGATGTATACCGTTTTTACATTGAATTTAGATATGAAGATGCTTATCAATATCAGAATATTTTCGGACCTTTGGTTAAAATGGAGGCTGATTACGACAAAAAGTTAAAAGAATCCCAAACTCAGGATGATATTGTTGTTCGTTGGGATATTGGATTGAATCAAAAACGTATAGCATGGTTTTATTTACCAAAGTTAGAATCCGGAGGTATATAGCTTTCCATTTGCGTGATATTTAATTTATTTATTATAATTTTTAAATTTATATATTTGACGGGATTTTTAGAGGTTCGTTTAGCTGTTGGAGATGAGTTAAGACTGAGATATAGGGGTGAATTACATCAATCATGGGAGTGCGTTGGTCATGTCATCAAAATTCCGAATAGTAAGTGATCACGCGACAAATTATGTATTTGATGTGTTTATAATCATCTTTACATTTGGTATATTAATATTATAATTTAGATGTTAGTGATGAAGTTGGGTTGGAATTACGACGAAATGATAATACACCAGTAGATTGTACGCATAATTTCTCTGTGGATTTTGTGTGGAAATCAACTAGCTTTGACAGAATGCAAGCAGCTATGAAAACATTTGCTGTTGACGAGACTTCAGTGAGTGGATATATATATCACAAGCTTTTAGGTCATGAAGTGGAGCCACAAGTTTTGAGAACTCAAATGCCAAAAAGGTTTGTATTGTATCATTCATACATTTATTAAATTTTCTAATTTTGTTCAATGGTTATTCGTTTAATATTTGTGTGCTTTATTCCAACAAGATTTTCTGCTCCAAACTTGCCAGAGCTGAACCATTCACAAGTATATGCTGTGAAAAGCGTTCTACAAAAGCCACTTAGCCTTATCCAAGGTCCACCTGGAACTGGTAAAACTGTCACGTCGGCTACTATCGTCTACCACCTTGCAAAGATGAATCCTGGTCAAGTGTTGGTTTGTGCACCGTCAAACGTCGCTGTCGATCAACTTACGGAAAAAATACATGCAACCGGACTTAAAGTAGTTCGCCTCACCGCAAAATCACGTGAGGCGTTAGATTCGCCGGTGTCGTTCCTTACTTTGCATGAACAAGTGCATAATAACGATACCAATGTTGAATTACAAAAATTAATTCAATTAAAAACTGAACAAGGGGAATTGAGTAGTTCTGATGAGAAAAAATATAAAGTGTTGAAACGTGCCTGTGAAAGAGAGATTTTACAGGTATGACCCTATATTAACTTTCAAAATAAGCTAAACAAAAAAACTCTTCTATATAATTTGAACTTAATAAATGGTTATATCTCTATTTCATATAAATAGAATGCTGATGTTATACTTTGTACATGTGTTGGTGCCGGAGACCCACGCCTATCCAAGTTCAAGTTTCGAACTGTGTTGATTGATGAAGCCACACAAGCAACTGAACCGGAATGTATGATACCACTTGTTCTCGGATGTAAGCAAGCTGTCCTCGTAGGCGATCACCAACAGCTTGGTCCTGTCATAATGAACAAAAAGGCTGCTAGAGCTGGTTTATGTCAATCACTTTTCGAACGGCTTGTCATTTTAGGCATCCGACCTATTCGTTTACAAGTCCAATATCGTATGCATCCTTGTTTATCTGAATTTCCAAGCAATATGTTCTATGAGGGATCCTTGCAAAACGGTGTCACGACCCAAGAACGTTTGCGTAAACATGTTGATTTTCCATGGCCAGCACCAGAAACTCCTATGTTCTTTCACTCAAACTTGGGTCAAGAAGAAATTTCTAGCAGCGGAACATCTTATTTGAATCGGTTAGTGTAAAACTGTTGACGCCTTATAAATCAACTTTTTTGATTAAAAATACCTATCGCACATTTATTTATTAGAACAGAGGCTTCAAATTGTGAAAAAGTGGTTACTAAATTTTTAAAATCAGGAATATTACCAACTCAAATTGGAATTATTACTCCTTATGAAGGACAGCGTAGTTACGTTGTTAGTTATATGCAATTTAATGGTTCTTTACGCAAAGATTTATACAAAGAGATCGAAGTAGCTAGCGTTGATGCATTTCAGGGACGTGAGAAAGATTATATAATTTTGAGTTGCGTTAGAAGTAATGAACATCAAGGAATTGGTTTTTTAAACGATCCTCGAAGGTTGAATGTGGCTTTAACTAGAGCACGTTATGGTGTTGTGATATTGGGAAATCCAAAGGTCTTAAGCAAGGTAAGGACATGAGCTATCAAAAGGCTAGTTTTGAATGAAATATATTTAATTTTTATTTTTTTCATGTTTGCTGCATTAGCATCCGTTATGGCATCACCTTCTTATACACTACAAAGAAAAAGATTGTTTGGTAGAGGGACCTTTAAATAATTTGAAAGTTAGTATGATACAATTTAGTCGACCTCGTAGAGCTTACCGAAAAGACGATAAGTTTCGACAAGGATTGGCTCATCAGATTGATGCACGTGAGGCTTTCGCCAAGCCACCTCTTGCTAGTGAAAGTAAGTAAATATTTTGCCACATTAATAACTTTACTGGTATCGTTTTTAACATTTTTTTTTATATAAAGACCGTCGTGGTACTAGGTCGTACGATTCAGATTTTATCAGAACACATGACCCAGTTGGTTATATTCCATCAGACATGAGTTCAATTCCATCATCATCTCAATTTAGTATCCCGTTACTTCCTACTCCAAATGGGCCTTTTACTCAAGATTTATCTCAAAGCAGTATTTCTAGCCGCAAGAACTCGAAACAACAGCAAAACTCTTCATACAATGGATATTCACATTCACTCTCATCTCAAGGCCCTCTTACTCAGAATGCTTATAGCAGTCAAGGATCAATGAGTCTTGCATTATCACAATCTGACCGCCTCAGGATGATGGAGAATTCGAATTCCTCTTTGGGTCATGGCTCCATCATGTCTCAGGATAGCTCAATCGGATATTTAGACGATTACAAAAGTCAAGGAGATGATACTATTTTGAGTCAAGATTTTGAAATTCGATCTCAATCTGGATATCAGTCTCAAAGCTTTACGCAATATTGAAGTGATTTTGTAAACTAAAGCAGGTTCAAAATTCTACTTCAAACTCCAGGAGGGACCGTCCAAATAAGGACATGATCATCCCGACGCGCATATTTGATCCGACCAATCAGATTTAAGAGATAGTTCGCAGTTAAAGGGTATAAATTTCATAGTAAAAATCGGCGTAGTTTTACTATTTGCCTTATATAGAAGTGGAATGCTGTGTGCTTCTGATCTTAAGAAAACCCTATAGAAAAAAATCGAAAAATACTCTTGCCTTATTATATATCCAACCGATTTAATGATTTTACCATCATTAGAACCAGAAAAATTAGTTACAACTTTTATTAGAAGCTAAAAGGTTTTCATAATAAAAAACCTTTTACATGTAAGCAAGTCCATTTCTGTACTATAAAAAAATATATAAATTTCCGATTTTGTTCATTATAAGATTTGCCATTTTTTTACCCTTTCAGAGACGAACTACCTTTTAAGTTTTTTAAATAATAAATGTTTAATTAGCGAAACGTATTTGTGATAATACTGCGGTAATATCGTGGTAATATTAAATTAAATTAATTATTAAATTAAGTTAATTAGAAGTAGCTAGTATAAAATGATGTTATAGTAATATATGTTGTAAGTGGAAAATGGAATTTAAGTGGATTTGGAATTTTCTAGTTAAATTAGGTGGTTTTATATAAAAATTCCGAATCCACTTAAGTTCCTTTTCTACTTATAACATATATATTTAGTTAATATATATTAATTAGATTTATTCTAAACAACAAACAAAAAAACAATTAAATTATAAAAAATGTTTTTGAACATCTTAAACCTTTTCTATTGAATCAAGCTCATATTTTTAATCATATTTAGTTTAATATATAAAATTCGTAACTTTTTTAACGATAATATTTGGA